TTGAGGTTTCTCTCAGGTTTTCAATATATATATAAGTATATATTGAATTTGTAACTTTCTATTTATCTGTATAAACCAACTATCGACAAGTGCGTACATTTTTGTGAAATATTTTTAAAATGAGCAAAATCAATAACAACGAGTATATACTTACATTTGTTAAATTTGACTCTAGGAACAAAACTAAATATATGTTTATTACAACATATCATTCTTTACACCAGAAATGTCACCCATAAAATAAGTGGTAGTAAAATTGTGGAGTATTTAAGCTATACGAAATTTTAATTTTTCGGGTAAATTAATCAAACAAAAAAAGTATGTTTTAATGTGGATTTTTGAAAAATCGGGACGAATTTCGTTCATTTAAATTTGCTTAACGTGCAGTGGCAAATATTTTTATACATGTTCCCGACGAAATTACATGGGCGATTCGGTCTTTTGATCTGACGATTCCTTTATATAGATTGATGTTTCCGTACAACTGCAGTTTCATTTATCTAGCATGTTCAGTTCGTCTAAAAAATCAAACCAAAAATTTGGTTCTTAAGTCAATTTAGTTCGGTTTATGGGTCGACAAAGATGGTGGGTTGAACATTTAACAGACACTTAACGAAGAGGTATGCAGACCTGTTTAAAAAAAAATTCCCTAAAACAAATTCTTAGAATCAAGCATCACTTTTAAAATTTCTATATTAATATTTTTGACCTTTTCCCATGGGAACCAACTTTTTTTCCCAGTACTGTTGACAAATATAACAACTTTAACGGTATGGGTTTTACTAATTGTTGAAGGCCTAACGGTGACCTATAGTTGTTCAGTAATTTTTATGGTGGAGCGTTGTCTCATTGGCAATCATACAAGTAACACATCCTCTTATTTGCATATGTAACAGATCAACTTTCAACAAATGTAAACTGATGGCGGAATAAACTCTAAAATTTTAACATTTTCACGATCGTAATTTTTTCCATTTAATAAATCGCCGCGATATAGTCTTTTTGCGCTAAGGCGGCGTTAAGCAAATACCAATCATCCATTTAATAAAAACATTTGTGTTTTTATTTTAGATAAATACTGTTTTATAAGCCGGTAATTGAAAAAAAATATTTTCAACCTAAAAGATAAGATATATCGATTGGAATGATGTAAACAATGAATACTTTCTCTTCCTTGTGCATTGGTCCCTTTATTGATTATTAAATAAAAATTAGATTAAACCAGCATTCTCGTTTTAATTTTTGCAAAATTACTTAAATGACGCTAGTTTTCATATCACTTATCAACCATCTTTCTTATCTATAGAGTTACTTCATGTGTACAAATTATTTTTTTTAATTTGTATTTTTAACTGATATTTTTTCGCTGCATTTTAAAAATCTGGCATCATTAACTATAAATTACTTAATAGTTTACCAATGTATTTGTAATCAATCTCTCTTAATTGTGAATATTTGTTGGAGGTATTTTCTGACTAAAATCTATAACGTTTGTAACGGATTAACGATAGATAACGGGGATACTGTTCTGCTTCAGTGATTTACCTTACAAAAAGGCGGTCACTTTAAAGATTAAAAGGATTTAACATCAGTTTGATTTGGTTTAACGGGGGCGTGGCTAATTAGTTTGACACAGCTTAACCACATCTGAAACTAACTTGAATGACCGCAAGGGAATCTATTTGACTGGTATTAAAATAATTTGATATGGATTGAAATGAATTAAAAACAATATTTAATTTTCGTCGGGTTGTTGTCTCTTTGAAATATTCCCCATTTCCATTCTCAATTTTATTTAGTATCTGCATATTCAGAACAATACACGTCTTTGTAAATATATAGATGTATCAGAGGGAGACTGTTTTATCAAAAGTTCAGCGCACTTATCGTACTACGTGATAACCCAAGTATTTTTGATATTTTTACATCACTTATGTTTTTGAATGCCTTTGTGGTATTTTTTGCCTCTCTTTAACTCAAATGATATAATATGGCTTATGAACACAGAAGGTAAATCCATTCTCGTTGTTGTTGGTAAATTTTTTTCTAAAAGTTATAAATGATGTAGCTTTCCTGTCTGCTTCAAACACAAGGTGGACTGATACTATATTTAGTATTTCCTTTTACACAGTTAGTTGAGTACCGTCCCTTGTTGTCACACAACCTGTTACTGCAGTATAAGTATTTTGGTATGGATGACAAAAGGTTGTACTTCTGTTACCTTTATGTTTGTTTCTCTTCATTAAGACAATTATGTTTCAAGAGTCCACAACCCCAGAGCATCGGTCATTGGTGCCTGTAGCATCTAAATAACCATCTTTAAACATATTTTCAGCATTCACATAGATAAATAACTGACAGGGAAAACAAGGCCAAAACAGTCTATAGATATTTGGTGTGGAATGTGGATCTTTGATTGTTATTTCATTATTCATACACAACTTTGTAGACTCGAGACAATTTTGAACTTTTAAGACACTATTGTTGAATACTGTATGTTATACTCTAGAACTCCTTTTGTTAAATGTGGCTGTCATATTGCAAGTGAAAACCAGACGTTACTTAACAAATAAAATTTTGTTTGCGGTATTTTCATTTCAAACTTTGAAATATAAATAGAAAAACTTTCCAGCCTGTGGCAAATTTGGAATTTACGAATAGAAATGTAAGCTAGGAAATTTCGTTTCCGTCCGAGCTCGTTTTTGAGCCTAACAATATAAAATATAAAAATGATAATTAAATGTTTTGGTGATTTTCATTAAAAAATCATTAATAAATTGCATGATAGTTTATAAATAACGGAACTTTAAATAGAAAAAAGGTGCGTATCATTGTTATAAGAGATATAACCAATTGAAAATTTTGCGGGAAATAATTCTCTCTATAGTTGTCATACATTTAACATTAGCACCTTTTTTCTTTCAAAAACTATGAAAAAATAACAAAGATTTTATTAATTTTTAAAAAATTGGCTTTTTACACTATATGTAATAAAATAGCAAGTGATAAGTCATCCGAATAACAAACATCCATAATTAGTTATGATTTTAGATAATTTCCTTGAAATGTGATTGCTTAATACATTTCAATTTTATTCATAAGAAAAATATTTATGAAATATACTACATATTTAGAATTTGGAAAAGACGTTACTGAGTATTAAAAATTGTATCTGATCAATTTTTCATTTTGAACAATAAAATAAATTTTTACTAGTATTGACATCAACGAAGTCACATTATCAGCATGCATTTATAAAGCACATTTTGATGGCTACTTACATAACCACAAAACTAGTATGCAATTTATCATAATTCATATCTTTTTAATGTACTTGACAAAGTTAGCAGAATCTTTGCAACTAAAAAAGACACGATGGACCATCATCAATCCTTCTCAATGTTTAACACAAGATAATGCTATGATCTTCAATCTTACAAATCTTTTTGTTAAGTCTACTGTCTCATTGACTATAATTAAGCACAATTGTTCTAGATGTCTACTATCTCATTGACAACACTGAAGCACACCTTTTCTAGAAGTCTACTGTCTCATTGACTATACTTAAGCACCATATTGCTAGAGGTCAACTGTCTCATTGACTATACTTAAGCACAATTTTTCTAGAAGTCTACTGTCTCATTGACTATACTTAAGCACCATATTGCTAGAGGTCAACTGTCTCATTGACTATACTTAAGCACAATTTTTCTAGAAGTCTACTGTCTCATTGACTATACTTAAGCACCATATTGCTAGAGGTCTACTGTCTCATTGACTATACTTAAGCACCATATTGCTAGAGGTCAACTGTCTCATTGACTATACTTAAGCACCATATTGCTAGAGGTCAACTGTCTCATTGACTATACTTAAGCACAATTTTTCTAGAATTCTACTGTCTCATTGACTACACTGAAGCACGCTTTTTCTAGAAGTCTACTGTCTCATTGACTATACTTAAGCACCATATTTCTAGAGGTCAACTGTCTCATTGACTATACTTAAGCACCATATTGCTAGAGGTCAACTGTCTCATTGACTATACTTAAGCACCATATTGCTAGAGGTCAACTGTCTCATTGACTATACTTAAGCATCATAATGCTAGAGGTCAACTGTTGCATTGACTACACTTAAATACCACTTTGCTAGAAGTCAACTGTCTCATTAACTACATGTATACTTCACCACCATATTGCTCGAATTCTACTGTCTCACTGACTATATTTAAGCACCATGTTGCCAGATGTCTACTGTCTAATGAACCACCATATTGCTTGAAGTCACATGTCTTATTGACAATACGTAAGCACCTATTTGCTAAAGCTGACATAGTTAAAATCGGTGTATCATAACAACATGAACAACTGAGTAGTACCTAGTCTGTCTTACTTAGTCAACGGCTTTCAACGGAATTTGAACTTGTTGCTACAGGCCAAAAAACAAATATAATTCATTAAATTAATGTGAAATAATTATAGCAGAATATATTATGAACTGATTGATTCTGCCATGCTCATGCAAGGTTGTCTCCTGGTAGCGTGTTCACCACGAGTGGGGGAAACCGTGGGTTCGAAAACATGCCGTGTCAAATCAAAGACTTTAAAATTGGTAATTGCTGCTTCTCTTCTAAGCACGCGGCATAAAAGAAGTAAGAATAAAGTCAAGTCGGCTCGGAGTCAGAATGATGTGCCCGGGTAATGTGACATGTCTTCCTGTGGACTGTTACCTTGTGACCTAGAACGTTAAAAAACCGGCTCAGCGTGTCGGTCTAGTAGAAAGCAGGTTTAATATTCATATTTTATTCACATGTTCTCGTCCTGAAAATGCATATCAATTTGCCGCTAGATCATCATCCATCCATCCATCGTCCACATTTACCCTTCTAGAGAGGCATTCACGGACATGCAATATAACTACAAAGCAAATACATATTATTTTGATGGATACACTTAGGTTGGATTCAAACAATGCTGGGAAATAAACAAGGTATTCACAACTGTGTACACTTCATATATTCTGTCTATATAAGATAATAACAAGCAGAAATATGAAATTGAAAAATCATATTGCACAGTTTAAATATATTCTGTGGTTATTGTCCAGCCCGGGAGAACAGGGATCGGGCTTTCCGCCCAGGTAATATTAAAGTACTTCGCAAGCTCTGTTATCTTTCCATTGTACATTATTTTAAAAGAATAATATCACGGTGTATATTTTGAACGCTTTCTTGCCGATTCAATCGACGGTAACGCTCGCTTTCCGATACGCTTACTTTCAGATTTATGTGGACAAAGATGCAGGAGACAGGAAATTGGGAGGGGTGATACTTAAATCGGATGGTAAATGGTGTTCCCTCTTGTATGTCACGGAACACTAGAGATATTTTTCTTGATAAAGATGTAACACATGTCATCATAAAAATTTGAAATCGTGTCATAAATGGTCCCACAAATGCAACACTTTACACGATTGAACACTAGAATTCATTTCTCTCGTATTAAACTGTTTAAAACATTTAAAATTAACCCGGGTTTCAAATATTCTATTGATTTTCCTGTCATTTTCACTCTTCTGTTTCTCGAAATTCGTTTAATTTAACCATAAATGTTCTTTGAAAAAAAATCACAGGAAACGCTGTCTTTCAGATTGTTCACCTTCAGTGTCATTCTGGGAAACGATTGCTTTCCGATTTTCTGGAAACGACTTCTTTCAGATGGAACGATCTGCTAATCATTGGATCACATGCAGACTATATTGTTTTTTTTCGAAATTTATTTATTGACACCCTACAACAAAGCAGCGGTAACAAGTCAAATTGGCGCCTGGCTTGATCAGCAACTGGATGTATCACTCCAATAAATTAAAAATGTCTTCGGACGACGAGAACGACATGAAAGCAATATAAGAACTCATTTTTTTTGCGGTCGTATAAAAAACAAGTCATGTGTTCCGAAAGGGTAAATTATTTCTGCTACTTCCGTGTTCAAATTACATTTTGATAATTACCTTTGAAAAAAAGAAAAACCCACAATAAACGGGAAAAGAAAGATATATGACTACCATCACAATAGAGTACATACAAAATATTAAACAAACTGTGACAACATCCGCAAAAGATTAATGGATAACTACATCAAATAATAGTGTTACCTAACCATGTCGGTAATCTTGAAAAAGATTTTTTACAATGACATATGTTTTAACATGCATAAGTACCACTACCATATTTGACTGAATTTGCAACCTTAAACTTAAAGTAAGCATTTCCTGAATCTCAAAGTAAGCGTTACACGTCGATTTCAGGAAAAACGATAAATAAACACAATTATATCATTTGCGATTTTATAGTATGTATCAAAATGATATATCAACCCTATTTAGATAAAACTGCGTTGAGAAAGTTAAGTAAATGTGGATGAAACTTTTAAAATTTTGATATTTTTGTCTATAAAGTCTATTTTACAAGATAACGCAGTTCTGTTGTAAACGAAAATCGCATTCATTTATCTTTGTAAGAAACAGTAAATCATGAAACTGGATACCTGTATATTGGTTTTGTTCCGTCAACTTTAGTTTCATTCAAGAAAATTGATAATTAATTCTTTTTTTAATATTGTAGCAACCTACCGTTCTACCCAGTCTGTAATTTTCTTGTAAACAATCGGAAAAAGTTTGCGTTTCCAGAATCGGAAAGCTAGCGTTACTCTAGATTTAATCGGAAAGCAAGCCTTCTGAATATACACCGTGAATATAGTGCTAGAGAAAACAAATTACTAGTCTGGAATGAGTCTGTCATAGGAAATACCAGTTGTTAAACTGAATTTACAAATATTACAATGAGCTTATTAACAAAAGTCTCTTCATAGAAGTATTACATTTGTGATTAGGAAATATTTCAAATGACTGCATGAATGCTCGACGGGCGGCCTCACGGTCTCCTGATAACTGTAAAGCAATTCCAAGAGTGTTGTAGGCTTGAGATCGTATACCTATATTTTTGTCAATACAATAGTTTTCTGCTATAACAAGTTGTAAAGTGTGGAGGCAATCCTGACATTGTCTCTCATTATTTAGATGATAATGACACAAAAAATTTAGAAAATAAGCATAAACTATAGAGGAAATGAACCATGGTCCATTCTCCATTTCCATTTGTAGTTCATTTGGTATAAGCCAAGAGTATGTTTTAAATTTCATAAAATCTACCAGCGATATTTTCCATAATCGAACTATACTTTTCTCCTGAAATGATTTCAGATTGAGCAATCGGTAATGAATATCCGACATATCCATGAAGCTGCACAGTTTTTCAGAAGTAAATTTCGATAAAGAATACATGATGATGTGTAACGCATTACTATATTGTTTTGTCTTATAGAAAAACGAAGCTAGCATCAGCCATCCAGAAACAGCGTCATGGTGAATATTTCGTAGCAGAATACAAAAACAGGAATTATACTGTTTGTATAGGTGTTTATTATTACTTCTAGTACTGTTCAGTGGAAAAGTCTGTGCATATATTGCACACCACAATGACAAGTAGTATGTGTATAAGTATTTAAGTGAGGATTGGTCACAGGAATCTATTTGATGTATTCCTCTTTTGTATACAGAAGTTTCCCTTTTAAAATCAACATCAGTAATATTTCTAATGAAATTTGCCAAAGATAACAATTTTGAATTCAGTTTTTGTGCAACATCGATAGTATGCAATGTATGTGGTTCAATATGATCCATCCACATTGATACATGGAAGTTAGATAGTTGATCTGAAAATAACACGCACCGCCAACCGTAACTATGGAGAGTATATAGTTTATCTAGGAGTATTACACGATCACGGCCCTCTATTTTGTTCTCAAACATGTTGTTTTCTGGAATAAAGTAATTCAGGCAAGCTGAATACTCAACACAATAAATCAGTCTTCTAAAGCAACGCACAAAACAAGGTATCAGATTATTAGGTTTCCATATATATTCTGGTATTTCCTCTGATATCCAGAAAATAATTGTTTTCAAGAAATATGAACAGAGTAAATTTGAACATTCGGTGTAGGTTGCTATTACATCTTTCAAAAGAATTTTTAGGAGGGCATAGCATAATAATTGTGTGTGTGTAAAAGTGCTAATTAGCATTTTTTCACCAACAGAAAAAGATATTCGCCATTCTATATTTTCCTTTGGCGATCCCTTAACTCCAATTGGTACTAAAAGTACGCCATGCTTTATAATACTTTGTTTGACATTATATTTTGGCCATGAGTTACTTGATCTTGATATCCACTGTGATGCTTGTGATATCCATGTCTTACAATGTAAGCAAAAGGCTACATCGATAATTCCGTCTTTGTCCGATATACACGGTCCATGAATTTTGTGTGTGTCTGTATTATTTAAGAACATTTGTTTAAATATTGCGCTCGATAAATAATGTTTTCCATTAAATTCTGCACAGCCTTTAAATGACGTTTTAGTAACATGTGTTTCTACAAGCAATTGCGTGAAACCAGGTTTTACATCGTCTGTTTCCATTCTACAATAATTTGTATTTTGATTATGTCGGGTCTTTTCATCTGCATAAACCTCGATAAATTTGACTACACACATCACATCCAAATCACTACCTCTCATGTCAAGCCCTTCTCCAAAACTTCCACTTGTAATAGCGGCAATAGGCTTGATGCTCGTCACATTATCCCTGACAGTATTTAGTTGTCTGATTGTTTTAACATGATCCTCTGTTCCAACTATGTTTTGACATAAGTAGCGATAAAGTGCTAATGATACGGTGCCTGTGTCTAAAATAAACATGAAATCAATAAAGCGATTTTTATTAAAGGAAATAGAATACAAATGTCACCATGACAGTTAACATTGAACTGATACTGCAATTAAACTTGAACATGGATGAGTTAATGTGATGTCAATTTACCTTGAAAGTTGATGAGTTTTTTATATTACTCTTGTAATATAACATTGCCCTCACCAAAAATATCATTTTTGTTGATCTCTTGTGCTCCAGAAGGGTACATAGATCTTGCTCCGCATGTGGTACTTGTTCAACCATTAAACCACGGGTGTCATTCTGTATATCGAGAAAAATGATCGTAAAAGAATACCTAGCGGTGGTCAATTATTCCGATTGGATCGTGAAAGCTCTGGTATAAGATCGTGAACGAAATCTTATCGAGAAGACATTTGCAAGGTCAATTGCTAATCTAATTAAATGCATTATACGGACAATTTACCAAAAAAAAAATAAAACTGTCTGTCAAAATGGTTTAATAAAAGCAGCAGTAGTATACCGGTGTTCAAAAGTCATAAATCGATTTAGAGAAAACAAATCCGGGTTACAAACTAAAATCGAGGGAAACACATCAACTATAAAAGGAAAACAAAGGAACAACAGGAACACTTGAGTGCAACAAAAACAATAGCCAACATTAACAGTATGATCAGTTTCTGAAAAAAATCAAGGTTTAAAATCATTTTTTAATTATAGGAAAATTTATATTTAAAATTGGTATAACAAATATTAGATTAACATGAGACATCCTGGTTCTTTACTGTTGGTGAATAGGGCTTTAATCGTTCAATGCCATTGGATCTTTTTACTTAATATATATATAACACCACAGCGACTAGGTACCTTATAGCAATACACTCTATTTGTCCGTTCGTCATAAGTTTTGATTTCTTATACAAACTTAAGATTGAGAATAAAACTTAATCGGCTAAATTACAGCTTAACCTCCCCCTGGATCCGCCACTGAGTTGGGTAAAATGACGTATAACTTTTGTGAACAGACTGACCAAACAATCAAGCAAACCAACGTTATCTTGGTACTTATTTAGTTTATGTCAGCGCAGCCACGAAATAACAATATAATAGCCAATTTTGCCATACTATGTACGCAAGAACGAAACTCTTTAAAACTGAAAGTAATAACCCTTACAAAATGAATTGCGTACACATGCATATATTTCAAGAGCCGATGCATTGCGCATTATAAATACATATATACGCTTACTTTACGACAAATTACGCTCCTGAAGATCATAGTATTTTGTAAACCTTCTTATCTAGACACGTTTTTAGTTTAGTTTTTAATACCCTTTAAGGAAGAGTGTAGGAATAAAAAAAAGTGAAATAAAAATCAAAGCTATAATGTTCGTTCTTATTAAAATAATTATACGCTTCAACTAAGTACAATTATATCAATAGGTAAAACAAACCAAAAATATTTTCTGATTCTTATATCTGGTCCGGCGCGGGACGTTTGCGTGGTTTGAAAATTAAATGTCGGTCTTCACAAATTGAAATAACCTTAGATTAACTATGATGTTTCAGTTCTATGGACTATTCATGCAACAGAGTGGACACAAGAGGAATATAGTTTCCAATTTTAAATCCACTAATTACAATGATAATTGAACAATTCGGGCCAAACTTAAATGTTCCATTCATAAAAGTTTCGTTTTCTCTATCATTAACCGGCATCGTATATATTTTTTATAATAAGTATGGTTTACCCCAATATTTTTTTTCTGATTTTGTCGTTTGTTCGGAAGAACTTACAAAAAATGTATGTACATTTTTCAATGACTTTGGTAAATTTTCTAAGACTAAAGGTAAACTGTAATAGGTGAACAGCGAAAATATCTTTTCAATTTTGTACAGGTGCTTCAAAGTCTAAAGCGCAAATGTCCATTTAGTGTTTTTTGTATACAGATTCGTATATTCATAAAATCACAAAAATCAGGTAAGTAGATAATAAAATATTAATAACATTGTTCTAACGTTTTCAACCTTCACGGGACTTATCAAGATATGTATCTGGAGAAGCGCTTTATTAAGACATTCAAAGCAAAGCTAAATGCGTAAAGGAAGTACGCAATTTATGCACAACAATAACGTAACATCACACTACCCCGTGGTAACGTTACTTAGTTACATATCTTGATAAGTCCCGTGAAGGATGAAAACGTTAGAACAATGTTATTAATATTGTATTATCTACTTACCTGATTTTTGTGATTTTATGAATATACGAATCTGTACACGACTTATTTTAAACATTTATTAATATATGTATGTAACACTCAGAACGTGTCCTTCCCCCCAAACGTGTCCGATTCCCCCAAACGTGTCCACATGACGTCACTGAACTGCAAAACATGTCTTAATATAAAAGGGCGCCAAAGCGTGTCATTTGTATAAACACCCAAACGTGCCTAATCCCCCAAACGTGTCCATATCAAGCTTATTTTTTTCTTTTACTGGAACTATCATTCGTGTCCGTATCATAAATACGTAGTTTATTTGGTTATTGCTTTTTCATTAACGTATACTCATTTTACTATTTCAATAAAAAATAGAAATTAATTACTTCAGGTCTTTTTTAAAACGTCACTATAACCTGGGAAAAAGCGGGGGCGTCCGTTCGGCTATGTTGGATGTAAATGTAAGCAGCCATGCTCAGTTAAATTGTAGATATTAAATCAGATACCTGGTGTAGGGAGAATGTCCCTTTCTCTGCACATTAAAACCTTTGTAGCAATTCACTCTTTCATGGTGCCATTAGTTGTATTTTGGAAGGCAACATTTTTTTTTAAAATTTCCGCAACTTTTATTTAAAGCGGCCTCTATTACATAACGGAGACTTAAGTATTTTCTTACTGAAGTCATAAAAAAATCGGTCTTTACTCGCTATCAAATTTTTTTAGATTAAAATCCCAACTAGTGTTAATCCCGAATAACCGTAAAAATGTAGGCCCAATCCTAAATTTCCGGTTTGATGATAAAACCTATCTACAGTATTTATTGTTAACATGATGTAGTTCAAATAATGCATGAAATATTTGTCACTGGTCGTTATGTCACTTGTTCGTGTGTCTTAAGTGATGCTCGAAACCTAAAATTAAAGTAAAAGGCCTGAAAACCAGTTTGTATCAGAACTGTTGAAAAAAGGGAAGTCAATTCTATAATCGAAAGCACGGCGTGTAATATTCGCCGAGAGGAATGATATAAAAAGGCATATATCGGAGGTAGTAGAACAAAATAATTCACTTTGTAAACGATTAATTCAACTGTACTAAAAAAAATTGTATGTTCGCTCTAAATATTCATGAAATACTTGCAACTGGACATTAAGCAATTTCATTCAAAAGTTAATTCATATGTTACAGATTAAATTTGCAATTATGATAATCATTAACAACCGGCATTGAACAAACTAATGATAATAAATGATTACTTCATCAACTTAGTCCCCCATCATAGAATTGCAGTAAACGTTATTGATGTCATTTAGGACATACATATTTTAGCGCTAAAAGACGTGAGACGTTCTTGCGTTTAACAGTGGACACGTTTTGGCGAATAAGAATTATCGAACACGTTTGGGGGTTGTGAAATCGGACACGTTTTGGCAATATTGAATATAACAGACACGTTTGGGGAGAATAGACACGTTTGGGGGGAATCGGACACGTTTGGGGGGATGGACAAGTTTGGGAGTGTTACATATATATATATATATATAGCACAAACAACATTTTCAAAAGACCAAAAAAGTGAAAAAGTATATTTTAACAAAACGCATTTGACTAACAGGTCGAACAAAGGATGTTCTTAAACCCTGCTGACTGCCATTGGCGATTGCTTAATAAATTGATCACCAGATATAACAAAATGGATCTTTATATTGATTTAATACCAAACAGAAAACAATAAACTTGCTGAAAAGATGGTATTCCACAAACATGAGGTGCAAATATTTTTTGTACACCATATCCGGGTTTCGACAATTAAGGTAGCAATACACAGTTAGGAGTTTGGTTTCGCATTCTGGCCTCGGTGGATTTTTCAAATATGAAAGTTATGTGTAATAAAATTCATTTTTAGACAGCTGAGTACTAATTTAGCCTTTAAAGGTGGTTTATAAGAACATCAAGATTATTTTTTACATGTTTTATGGGCTATTTTCTGTTTGACTCTCCGTTTTTTCATAGCTAGACCGGTCATTGGTCCAGAAATTAATGTAATGTTTACAAACACTTTTTTTCTACACAAAGTTTTTGACGCAATTTTACAAAACAATGAGACGAAAGACATATGATTTTCATTGGATTTATTGAAAGATATATGTAAACAGTTTCAGAAAATGTATTACTTGAAGTGATTGAAATTCTACTTTTGGCCAAATTTTGGGGAAATATGTGACATCTTTTCCCCCCTTTTTGCTATATTTTATAACAAAAAAATGCAGATTGTTGGCATGGATACACCAAATTTTTTTTATATTTTACCATTTTATATACTGGATATGAAATCTATGGAAGATTCTGATTACATACATATGCACATATATGACACAAACAGTAAGCTTAATATTGCAAGAAGGCAATGAAAAGGGGATGGTAAAATTTATTAGGGAATATTTTAATATTTTTTCCTAACTGTTTATTACTACCTTATGGCATACTTACCAAGCTCAGAATTGTATAATTTAAGACTTTTCATACCACAAATTAATTGATATTTAGATTCTAAATCAACTTCTGAGGGGATTAAGTGTTTAAGAATGACAATACATGTCAATTTTATTGTTTACAGTCCTTAGCAACCAAAATTAGACATTTTGACACAAGGCTTATAATTGTACACTATTCGCTTAACCCTTGCTTCTGAAGGATTGCGCAGTATGTAGTAGCCTAAGTATTGAATGTTTTGTATTTTTTCTTGCGAATATATCAAAATATTTTTTTTATCAATATTTCATGTTACATTTT